CGCCAAAGCATCAAATACTGCTCTTGTTCCGCTATTCATGCCGTGCCTTAACCGCGCGGAATACATGGGTGGCGCTACTCTTGAGCACCTGTCGACCATGATTCGCGACGACATCATGATGTGGGCATTCTCTTTTGGCAATTACAGGGAATGGTTCAGACAAAATGATACGCCGATCGGTCAAGATTGCGTTCTCTTGCCTGAAGCTGGTTATGAGGGCGTACGATACGGAATGGAGGAACTACGCAAGCAACGTTTCGAGAAAGAGGAAAGCCGTATCAACGCTCTTCTCAACAATCAGTTTGAGAACACTCTCGAGCAGCGCAATATGATCAGGAAGATCCGCGAAGCCAGAGGCCTCATGTTTCAAAGCGACAACGCTTCCATCAAGAAGTGGCGCGAGCTGAACGAGACCATCTGGGAATACTGGGCCAATGATTTCCCATCATCCATAAAACAAAGACACTATCACAGGGGACTCAATGCCATGGTAGTATGGAGTGCGAACGACATCGCATGTGCTAATCCTGGACAGAACACCATCGACATGCGCCGACATCACAGTCGTGCTCCTACCAACGTACACGAGCTCCAAAAGATGGAATGTGAGGGCGGCGTCCCGACGCTCATGCCCGTACACGTGCTCGTGGACGTATCACGTTTTGTCGATGTGATGCAGTATTTCCGCTGCCCCACGGTCATGGGACCTGGAAAAGCAGCGCAATGGGGCGTACACCCGAACTTTGATCACCACACGAGCGACTTGATCACTATCATGCAGAACCGTGGTATCACTGTTCTTCCATCCGACCATTGGGTGGATACGTACGACAGGGTTACCCCACAGGCTTGGCACGCCAAACAGAATAACCATAACATGGCAATGTTACAACGCAATTCTGCGACGCAGTATGCTATCGCAATTTTTGCGCATTGATACAGTCTCTTCCTTCTCAGCCATATCCATTCAGGCCGCCATTGCTGACTTCTGTCACGGACAACCAGGCCTACACTCAGGCCAAGGAAATCATGGCAGCCCTCGACTTCAGAGAAAAGTTGACAAACGAATGGAAAAGAGACCTCAGCCTCACAACATTGATGACACAGACGGCAAACGAGATGGCTCATTGTGCGTGGATGGCGTCATGTGCCGAGGGCACATTGCCGGCATCACTGCCTGCCGAGACGGGCGACACGACTGAGCCGACTCCTGGAAGGTCTACACGTACGCCAGCAACGGACCCTAGCGATCCTGACCAAACCCTTCCTGATAATGATCCATGGGTTATGGCATACAATGACTTATTCCAGTACCTTATGCTGTTGATCAAAGAATACCCTGGGGCTTGGGCATCTTGGCGTTCTCTTGAGAAAGATGAACATCTAGAACCCAAGATCGTCAAAACAGTTGAAGATGCACATGCAGTTACTTGGGTTGTATTCGAGCAATTCTTACGTCAGATCAAAGAGTTGGATGGAGACGATAATGCGACCAAATCAAGACTCATTGCCGAAGAAAACAGATTGTCTTCTCACCGCATCGGCCCAGCTGCCGAGAACGAGAAGAACATCGAGGCATGCAAAACATTCTTCAAACAGAATGCACTGGATCGAGTTGCTTTGGGTCATGACCCTAATGTCCCTACAGCCGCATGGAGGGCAGCTGATGACACAGCACAGCCAGCCCCACCAGGCCCATTGCCTGATCCACTGCAACCTGGACCGCAATCGATCAAAGCGTCGCAACCATCGACTCCAGAGCCTAAAGCAGAACAACAACCAGCAGATCAGCTCCCAAAAGCTGAGGCGGTACCGATCCCTGATGACGGCACCGACCTTGAGGCAATGGAGCTGGAGGCAACTCCTGCTGAGGAGGAGCCTTCTCCACATGAGATGAATATATTGTCATGGCAGGACAGTTGTGAGCGTTCCATGCACGAGGATACCAGCAAGCTCGGGATCTTCGACAACTCATGCACTATTCGCGAATGGAAGTTACAGTATGGCGTCAAAGATGAACATCCATACATGTGCCCAATGTTGCGGGGCACGAAAGCGACCAATGGATTTGCCTGCATCGAAGACCAAGAGTGGTACGAGCAGCTACTGCATGATGATAGTGTAATTGCTCATGCGCCTGACATTGCACAATCTGGTTGTTTCCCAGAATGGAAATGGATACCATTACCACATTACGACGATGTACGTTATGGTCCTGAGCTAATTGATGAAGAATGGCTGGGAACAAACAAATACATGAGCAAAGACATCACGACTATGTTACGCCATGAGATTCACTACAAAAAGTTTTGGATCAACCAATTTCATGACAGACGTATTAATATCTGGGACAAAACAACAAAGAATGATTGGAAGATTCCAAACAATTGGAAATCATTTAAAGAAATGGTTCAATGGAAATTCCGAGATCGCAAAGAAAGACACAATGGACCATCCATGGAAGCGGCAGTGGCACATTTCAAGAAAGACGGTGAAAATGATGGATACACCGATTGGAACGACTACTATCCGATATTCATTATTCGTGCGTTCCAGAAGCATATTGACCCGCAGAAAAACAGAATCGAGATATACGCCAAGCCGATTCCTGACGGAGGTGACCCCAGCATTTTTGACTGGAACAGCGTTATTGCTATTCGGTGCGTCGGTGGTCACAGTTGTGTCAACCCATCTTCAAAGCCATGGAACATGGGATGGGAGAGCTTACAGTGGACAGATGTCAAATATCTCCATCATGGCACAGCATCCCGTGCCTGGAAGAACATATTGAAGACAGGGATCATTCCTGGATATGTTGAACCACATTCTCAGAGAGACAGAACTTACAAACCATCGCAGCGATCCGAGGCATTCTTCAGTTCTAGCACATATTTGAACAATGTTCAAAAGAACCCACATACTTCAGTGGAATCGTACAAGTTCAACAGCTACAAGAACGAAGTCGAGCTGGTGATCAACATGGAGATCGCCACAAAAGCAGGTTGCAGATTTTGGTTGGGTGCTCAGGGCGCTATCATGACTGAGGACGTGGTACCCGCTGCGGCAATTATTGCAATTCGCCGCCTCAAACCACACCACATGCATGGCCAGCAGCTGTGGCCAGACGGCGACCCATGGGACTACCCGCCATTGGCAGCCAGAGAGCCATTGAGCAAGTACGAGATTTGCGCCTGCCTTCCTGGAGAACTTATTGACGACCCACCTGGATTGGCACCTATCGACCCCGACCAAGACATGGAGCCTCCAAGGATGGCGCCAGCATCAGCACCCTCGGCCAGGCCGGGGGAAACCCCTGCTGGCCGTACATCCGCAGAGGACGCCTTGGACGAGCAAATAGTACGTGCTATGATCCAGGAGACCAATCACAAAGCAGATGATAAAGAATGGTTGATTGCATTATCACATTGTCGTGAAGCTCTTCGACCAATCACAGCAAAGATCATGCAAAAAGATTGGGATCGTCGTCCTGCATTTAACGATGTTCGAATGGGCGACTTCATTGTCATTAAGAATTGGGGTTCTACCAAATGCTTCCACTACGACAACCATTGGCCCAAAGGCAATCACAATACCAAGATTGCCTTGTCCAAGGGACACATATATGGTCCAATCATCCATTTCGGCATCTTCGACAAGTTCTTTGCGGTACAAGTACCTATTCTCAACTACGGTTTACGATGGGTAAATATCTGGTATAATGACAAAAGCATGCCCCTCAAGGGCGTTGTATTTGCATTGCCGATTCGTATCGAAGAACACGCCATCGATCCAACATGGATGGAGACTGCCCTGAAAGGCCCGACATCTTGCAGCGAGGACATACTGCAGCACAAGGTTAGCGGCAGCTTACCATACCTTGGAATGCCTAGCATCCATAGACCACGTATTCCGCGTACACCACCAAGAAGGCCCGCTCCACGGACACCTGATCCAGACGAGCTGGTGGCCACACCTGCCGAGGACAACGCTCAGACGGGCGACATTCCTCGACAGGGTACAGCATCATCGCATGATCCACTGATCACCGTAATCGTGGACATATCAAATATCGTTCTTACTGCAGATGAGAAAGCTGCGAACGACAATATGAGGGCAGACCTCTCGGCAGACATCCAAGCAGAAGAGCAGATCGAGGCAAGCATCCTCGATAACATCATTGATCCGCCATCGAATTTCCTTGATCATCCAGACTACGACCCCGACGAGGATTCAAGATGGATTAGACAGTCTGATGATTGCCGCGTGTATTGTTGGACATCGGCGCTATTGGTGGATTCGCCTATGATCAAGATGAGGCAGATCATTGAGATACACAGTGGCGCAGACAGAATCGTACTGGACAAAATTCAGTCACATTTACAATTTGAAATTCGATTTGGATCGAAAGCATGGAACGCGGAGTCATATCATTTGAACTACAATCATACCCACAAGTGGGCACATGACTTACCCAATTGTGGTGCAGATCACTTCTTCAAAAAGTTGGTACACTACCTCGACCCGGAGACTATCGAGGAGTCGACCACTGGCATCTTTCAATGGATTTCCAAAGTATACCAGAACATCTTGAAAGATAGTATTGTGGAGCTACCAGATTTCGCCAAGGAAGTCATCCATGACAACCATCCTGCACTTCAGGCATTGCGTGACCTATACAAAAATTGTACTGCGACATACGGTGATCCAGAAAGAGCTGGTGGAAACACGCGCCTCGAGAGGAGGGCGCTGAGCAGATATTCCCCAGGACCCAGGCAGTGTTGCGTCTGCAGCTCCCGATCAGGAGAGCTATGGTCATCCATGACAACCATCCTGCACTTCAGGCATTGCGTGACCTATACACTGCGACATACGGTGATCCAGAGTTTCCTGCGCGGGAAGAGCTGGTGGAAACACCTGCTGCGCCTCGAGAGGAGGGCGCTGAGCAGGATATTCCCCAGGACCCAGGCAGTGTTGCGTCTGCAGCTCCCGATCAGGAGACTATGGCGCGCATCATAGCTGAACAGACGGGACTCAAGCGCGAGGAGGGCGACAACGAGGCTACCTTGCAGAGGCAGGCTCGCCGTCTTCGTGAGGAGAACGTATGCCATGGCGGTACTGAGGATACCGACAACGTCAAGATAGAGCACAAAGGACTGCCAGGGGAAAGGTTGTCTCGGATCGAGATCGAGGGTTTAAGCAGATCGATCGCTTCCAGACCAAACACCGAGATCAATCGTGAGGCGATCAATCAGATCGGTCAGAGCCTCGCTCGCGGTCAGGACACCCGCTGGGGATCCCGCGATCACCTGACTTCGGCAGGGGCCCCCGAGACGATCTTGCATCCCATACCGCTCTGTAACAATTGCGGTCGAGATCTGTCCCTCGGTATCGTCACAGGTGACGGCACACTCTGTGATATATGTTGGCAATACACTGTGGCCGTAGGCGCCACAGGTAAGAGCACCGCCACACAGAGTGACCTCGCGTACCTCCAGAAGTTGACGAACTGGATCAAGACGACGTTGTCCGAGGACCAGGTCGCGAGATACATGAAGGATGGCGCACATGTCATTATGACGGGTGCGCGATCCCCCATAGGCACAGAGAAAGATCAGTTGCGGAGATTGGCCAATACGTCCAAGAAGAGGTATCAGAAGTGGGTCGAAGCCGGTAGCCCGCCTGCACACGAATGCAGATTAATGGGCGAATCCGAGGACGACCGACCTCTGTACTACCCATACGCCAATCTCATTCAACGCTTTCTCAACGACCTCAGATTCCATCATCAGATGACAGGAGCCCGCGTGAATGTCGGCAAGAAGCCCTGGAGAGTCGAGGACATGCGCGACGCGTGGGACATCCTTGACGTCAGTATTAGGACAGGACAGGCTGGTCGGAGAAAGTGGTGGCTGAACGAGGGACGCATTGACAGGCAGACGCGGCAGGCGCGCGGACTGATTACGGTTTCTCTCCCTCGAGGGGACGGAACCCGTGAACAGTTCACCCAGCGCAAGCTTGCCGCGATTGCCAACGAGCTGATAGGCTCCCTCGATCCGTCACACACTGACCAGAGGGGGGGTAGTACAGGGATGAGAACCGATCCAGATACACACTCCCAACAGTCCGATGACGCCATGGAGCCGCGGCCGCCGCCGCGGCCGCCGCCGCGCCCTGCTCCTGGCGACGCCGCTGCATCCAGCGCCTCAGGCGCAGAGGACTACATGCCCGCGATGCCGCGCGCCAAGAGAGCACGTACATCTGATTACGCTGCTTACTGGCGCCACAATCTCGAGGACAGCGATTGGGGTCTTCGATACTGGAGTTATTACATCAAATGTTGGATCTACATTGCGATCAACAACGACGAGTATGTGTACATCCAGGATATCACGTACAACGATTGGTTCCGCAACTGGATCCCGAGGACCACTTGGGAAACGTTTACGACAAGCTATGTGACGTACAACGGCCAGAGGGTGTGGGACCGCAGGTTCTACAAGGACGGCGACGCGTAGTGAGTCGGCCGCAAGGCCCACTGCTCAAGAGCAGAACTTCCGTTCATCAAAGTTCGCCTTGAGCGGTGGCTAATACATTCTTTTAGGCCACTTCAATCTTTCACACAAGTGGCCATACACACATATAGATATCTTTTGCGATCACCGAGGCAGCCTCCTAAGGAGCAACGCCAACGGGAGTCGCCAAACAGATTTTATACATCATTTTCGTGTTCATCAACACGACATTTTCTCCTGGCCAGGTACTTGCTTTAACGCAGATTTGCATTTCTTTCAGGATCGTGTTCGTCAACACGATCTTGGCATACATTTGCTTTTAGGCAGACTTGTGTTTGATTTCAAGATTGTGTTCGTCAACGCGATCTTAGCATGCATACTTTAACAATTTAACAATATTGCGTCGAGAATAATCTGATAGCTGGTGGCAACACCTGCCTCGCAAATCTTGCGAGGCGGTTTACGTTGCCTTGGTGCTCAGATCTTCTTTCTCCGCCTACCTTTGTCTCATTCTTCTCCTCCCTCGAGTGCCGAAGCGTTTTGGGGGGCGCACCGAGGGGGCGGCAAAGACCGCCTGGAGAAGAAAAAAGAGACCCAAGGTATCTCTTCTTACCTCACTTTGCAGCTGTGGCTTCGCTGACTTTTAGCCCAGCTGCCTTTTCAGACTTAAGGTAAAGGAGTTCTGAGGTTACGGATTCCATCCTCCTGATCCCGAGTCCTGCCTTCACGGGCGGGATTCGGGACGGGGGGTGTGTGTGGAACCCGTGTAATACCCTCATATATACTCCTTATCCTTACCTCTCCCGCACCTGGCCGTTTGGGCTCAGGTACTGAGTTGGAGCGATCGTACCTTGATCGCTTGGGAGGGAAAGATATCCATCTATCCCTCCATCTCTCTACCAACGGATCAGGGGTTCTGTGCTCTTGTACTTCAACCCCATACACATCCCCCCTTTCACCTTTCTCATTTCCTTCCCGGGCCCTCTCGATCCCCATCCCCCCCTCCCGTTCCCCCCCCTCCCCATCCCCCTTCCTCCCTTGCCCTGCGCCCCCTTTCCTGCCTTCCTGCCTCCTGCCTCCTGCCCTTCTTCCCTTCTTCCTCCACCTGGCCTCCAGCGCTCCAGCGCCCTTGCAGCGGGCCCCCCCCCCCCGGGTGACGTGCCGGAAGACGAAGAAAAAGGTCCGGGTCCTTCGCACATCGGGGGAGTGGTGCAGGATCTGCCACAACGTCTATAGGCTGAGGTTCAAGATGAAATTCAAAAAGAACTTGAACAAGTTCAAGGCTGCCATTGCAGATACGAACCCGAAGAAGCAGAAGGACAGGGAGAGTTTCGAGAAGGCGAAGCTCGAATACATCCATCTGAAGAGCGGGGGGAAGTCTCGCATCGTGGCATTGCAGGGCAGGGTGCTCGCCCGCCGGCGCCACAGCGTGACGGTGGCGTTCCTAGCGCCCTAGCGCCTGACTCGGGTCCGGCGGTCGACCGATCGGATGGAGGAGGGAGGAGGTAGGAGGTAGGAGGTAGGAGGTAGGGGGGAGGGGGGGAGGAGTGGCAACACAGCAACACCTTATGCCTTATGCCTTATGGCTGGCATGCGAAAAGAAAGGGAAGCCCCGAGGAGGGAGGAAGGAGCACGAGCGGGGATGAGGGGTAAGGGGTAAGGGGTAAGGGGTAAGGGGCAAGGGGCAAGGGATAAGGGATAAGGGATAAGGGATAAGGGATAAGGGATAAGGGCAGGGACAATTCACAATTCCTCTCTTCCCATCAGGTCTTGGGCATTGGAGTCCAGGGTCCAGGACTCCACGGCCCCAGGGCTATTTCTGGATGGATCGAGGATCGGGGGCCTCCTAGCTCCTAGCTCCCAGCACTTAGCCGCCTAGCGCTGGGCGCCTGGCATCCTCCTCCGCCTCCTCCTCCTTCTCCTCCTCTTCCTTATTCCGCCTCTTCAATTTTCAATTCTCAACACATCCGTTTTCGGTTTCCTGGCTTCCCGATTCCATTGTTTTTCGTCCTCGCGACCCCTCCTTTTCCCCCCCGACACCTCCCCCCTCTCCCTGCTCCTCCCTCCTCCCTCCTTCCTCCTCCACTTCCCGCCCCTTCATCGTTGGTCTCCCCGTCTCCCCTATCCCCTATCCTCATCTTCCTTCTTTTCTCTTCTCTCTTCTCTCTTCCCCCTTCCCTCTTCCCGTCCTCCCCAATGCCCGGCCCCCCGTCCATGGCCCACGGTGCACGGCCCACGGTCCAGTCGTCCAGTCCCCGGTCCAGGGTGTGCGTGTGTGTTTTCCCCGAGTGGTTGTTTGGGTTGTTTGGCCGTTTGGCCCATTTCCTGGGCCCTGGGCCCTGGGCCCCAAGCCCCAAGCCCAATTGCCCCAAGCCCAATTGCCCATTTGAGACACTTCGCTGCTGCGCGCTGCGCGTCGACCCTCCAAGGTTGAGCACCCTCGGGAGGTGTTCTACGTTATGAAGAAGTACACGTCGAAATTCGGCAACCCGAAGGACACGAAGGCCCGGGTCGTCAACCTGAAGATCCGCGGCAAGGGGATGGTGAAGGGGGTCGTCGTGCGCGAGGAGGAGGACGGCGTCTTCCCCATCAAGCGCTGCACGCACATCGACTTCGACAGGGAGTACGTGCTGGACGACGGCAGCTGCGTGCTGGACGAGAATCAGATGGAGGACATGCTCGACATCGGCTCTGATCTGGACGACGAGAACATGGGGAAGGATGTCATGGAGGACGCTAACTGGGCGGGCGTCCCATCTGGAGGGATCCTGAGCATCGAGGAGACCGCGGCGAGGGTGAAGGCCGCTGAGCTGGCGAGGGAGGCCAACGTAGTCCCTGGCGCTGACGCTGACGATGACAGCTCGGGCTCGGGCTCATCTGGGTCCTCAGGAGGGGACGGCGAGAAGGAGTCGGACACGGACTCTCGCTCGGCCAACAGTGACGACGAAGTGGGCACGGTCTGCCCCAGCAGGAAGAAGCCCAAGATTGAGGCTTCAGCTTCAGCTTCGGTTCCCGCGACGCCGGCAGCCAAGGGGGTCAAGGGTGGCGCGTCGGCGGCAGCTTCATCGGGGAAGAAGGCGGCGCCGAAACCTGACGGTGACGGCCCCGAGGAGGACGATGAGGACGGCGAGAAGGATGTCGAGGCTGACGCGGTGATCGGCTCCCTGCAGAACATTGTGAGCAGCTTCTCCGCCGGGGCTTTCGCGAACAAGGATGGCAGGGCAGGGCAGGAGTTGCAGCGTGCCTGGAAAAGTCTCACAGCTTAGATTCTTAGATCTTAGATCTATCATACATCTTAGGTCTTAGGCTCGTAGGCCCTAAGTCCTAAGTCCTTAGTCTTCGATCTTAAATTCCAGAGTCCAGAGTCCAGAGCTCCAGAGCTCCAGAGTCGGGAATCGATAAACAAATCGATTGGTTTGAGGTTTGAGTGCTAGGGATTTAGCTGCGTTTATTGTTTATTGTTTTCAGGTTTGAGTGGCTCTGGACTCTGGACCCTGGGCCCTGTCACTGTGGCCCCTGGCCCGTGGACCCCCAGGGCCAAGGGCCCCAGGGCCCCGGGCCCCGAGGCCCTGGGCCCCGAGGCCCTGGGCCCCCCTGGGCTTTACGCCTCTAGGCCTCGAGCCTCGAGGCTCGAGGCAACCCGCAACCATGGTGGCTGATCGGCTGATCCGCTTGGCGCTTGGGGCTCGGGGCCGCTTGGGGCTTGGGGCTTGGCCATGCGCCATGGCCCCTGGCTCAATCGCCCAGGCGTTCAGGCTCCAGGCTCCAGGCGTCCAAGCCCCGAGCCTTGCCCCCCATCTCCTTCCCCCGGCCTGGCCAAGGGCCAAAGCCCCAAACCCCGAACCCCGAACCTGCCCGCCTGCCGCCTGCCCTGGCCTTGGCTGGCCTTGGTGCGGTGGCGATCGTGAATCGCCGATCGGCGACCGCGTGGCTCCCGCTCAGTCGGCTATCTCAGGTAGTCTGGCAACGGCTTCGACGGTATGGAAGAGGGTCACTGTGTCCAAGGCCAGGGCGGCGCGCGAGCAGGCGGACCCACTCAAGGATGTCACGAACAAGGTGGAGGCTGTCCTCAACGTGACCAAACTGGTGTCTAAATTCCCCAATGTCGACTTTGGCCAGCTGGAATCCGCCTGGGCGGCCCTCAAGGTTCAAAACATTTCAGTGCCGGCCAAATTGGAGGCCAAGGTGACCCTGAAGTTCATTGACACAAAAATCAATGGAGATGCTGGATGCGATGACATACTGCCGCTTATCAGCCTCAATGCGCCTTCCGGCACCCCGAAGCCTACCTGGGGCGTCTTTGCCATCGGGGACGAAGGCTTGAAAGCGGAGACATGCAGTGAGGCAGCTTGCAAATTGTTCACCAAGTACTTCTCCTACAGGTTGCCCAAGGCCCAGACGGAGGAGGACGCCAAGAAAGCAGCAGAGGAGCCCGCGCAGAGAAATGCCCGTGCCCAACTGCCCAACTGCTCAGCTGGGATGGGGAAAGGGGGAAGGGGGGGAAGTGGGGGGAGTGGGGCGGGAACAGGGAGGGGGGGGGGAGGACATGCTTCCTCCCATCTCCTATCTCCTATCACCTCCCCAATCCCCAAAACCCCAAACCCCAAACCCTGAACCCTGAGCCCTGAACCCTGAACCCTCTCCCCCTCCCATATCCCATAATCCATAATCCCTCCATTTTCCATTCTCCTCCGCCCCCTCGCCAGGGCGCCAGGGCGCCCGGGGGCGCGGGCGGGGGTATTTTTTGCTGAGCACCCGAGGAGTTCATGCCCAAGTTCATCAGGGTGGCTTTCCCTCAGACCGTGGTGAGCGAGATCGAGCTGGTGAAGAAGGTGATGCTCTTGGACACAGTTGAGCCCAAGGACCCCAGGTGAAGACGTGAAGAGCTACTGGCGATTCGGCCTCCCCCCTCCCCTCGGGCCCTGGGCCATTGGCCAATTGCCCTGGGCCCTGGGCCTCTGGTCTCTGGTCTTGGGTCTTGGGCCCCTGGGCCCTTGGGCCCTGAACTCGCTTGCTCATCACTCACCGGCATAGCGCATGGCAGCTCAGCGCTTAGCGCTTAGCTGCAGCAACTGATGCCTTATTCCTGATTCACATGTCAAGGGCCAGGAATTGCCAATTGCCCGGCCTGCCCCCCCCCCTCATCCTTCCGCCCTCCACAAAGCACAAAGCGAGCAGCGAGCAGCGGAGAGCGTTTCGTGCGAGAGCCGAAAGCCCGGTGCCTAGGGCCTAAGGCCTAGGTGCCTAGCGCCTAGCGCCTTGCTCACTCGCTCACTCCCCATCCGACTAATGACTAATGACTAATCCCTACAGCTTGGCGCTTGACGCGAGACCCCAGGACCCCAACACCCAAAACCCATGTGCTTCTCTGGGTCCCTGGGTACCTGGTGCCCGCTGGATGACGGGTTTGTCGGTTTGTCGGGGTGTTTGGGGTCTGGGGCAGGGTGCAGGGTGCGCAACCCCGTTTTTGGGGCGCTTGTACTGAGGCCTTTGTGCTTTGTGTTCCTGAATGTTTGTCACGTTGCCCTTTGCCTTTGCCCTTTGCCCATGTCCAATGTCCAATGTGCCCATATGGCATGTAGCGCGAGACCCGAGACCCGAGACCCTGCCAGGCGCCGGGCTCTCGGTCGTCTGGTCGTCTGGTCGTCGGGTATGGGGTATGCCAACTCGCCGGGGGGCCCCAAAACATTTGCCCATTTGCCCAGCCTCAGGTGTTCAAAAGTTTGGCCCAAATGCCAAATCATGTGACGTTGCGACGTTGCGGCGTTGCGGGGGGCGTGGAACGTGGAGCGCGGGCCTCTGGGCCTCGGATTGCGGACTCGGAACTTTGGGACTTTTGGGGGGGAGGCAAGGGCTGGAGGCTGGAGCTCCAGGTTGGTTAGTCGTTAGTCTTGAGTCTTGAGGTTTTGGGTCTTGGGTCTTGGGTGTTGGTGTGTTGGTTGTTGTGGCCATGAGGAGTTGCAGGAGGCAGTGGAGGTCTGCGTGAAGGCCCAGAAAGAGAACAAGGCGGCGGAGCACAACATTGTCAGGGCCTTTGCGATTTCCAAGATCGGCCGAGGCTACGTGAGGGACTCGGGGGGCATGGCCAAGGAGAGCCTCAAGGACACGATGTCCTTCGAAGAGCTCCAGCGGTTCGGTGTGACGGCCAGGGGGCTCCTGGAGAAACTGCAGTCGATGCCGGAGGACCACCTCGAGGCCCGGCTCAAGCACGCGCAGTCCAACCTCGACCTCTTCATCAGCATTCGGGCCAAGCTGCCAGACAACAAGGCCCCGAGGCACAGGGCCGAGCTCGGGACATCCTGCAACGAGATCGAGAAGGCCATCGTGAACGCCATCAAGGTTGCCATTGAGAACATGGCCAAGTCCTGTCAGACGGACCGAGAACCACAAATGCATCAAATGATCAAATCATTCCTCCCCCTCCCGTTCCCTGCCCCCTGCCCCCTTCCTCCCCGCCCTCTCCATTTCTTCCTCTTCCCTCCTTCTCTTCTCATCTTCCCCTCTTCCCTTCGTCCTTCATCTTTCAACATTCACCCTCCGCCCTCTCTGCGTGGCCACTGGCCTCTCTTCCCTCTTCCCTCTTCCCTCTTCCCTTCTTCCCTATTCCCTCTTCCCTTCTCCCTTCTCTTCCCTTCCCCCCTCCCTCCCCCCATCTCCCTCCCCCCTCCCCCCTCGCCATCTCCCCTCGCCCCTCGCCCCCCGCCGCTCGTCGCCCCCTGTCTCCTGTCTGGGCGTCTGAGCTCTGGGCTCTGGGGCTCTGGGGCTCTTGGTCCTGGGCTACGGGGCTCCGGGGCTCGCGGGGGCTATTGGCTATTGGCCTATTGGCTATTGGCCTATCTGCAGATTGTTTCCCCGCTGCGTTTTCTCGTTTCCTCCTCCTCCTCCCTTCTCCTCCTCCTCCTTCCTCCTTCCTCCTCCCCCTCCCACCTCCTCCTCTCCTCCTTCCTCCCGCCGCCCTCTCCGCCGGGCTCCTCCTGTCAGTCCTCAGCCCTCCACCCTCAACCTCGCGTCCCCCCCCTTCCCCGGCCTGCGCCCCGCGGGGCAATCTTGTCGTCTTGTCGCTGTGTCTTGTCCTGGGGGAAATCAGGGCGGACGGATGATCCGCAGATCCACAGATTCAGAATCCTTTGCAGGATGACGGGGAGATGCAGCTGAGCAAGAAGGACTTGGAGACGTGCTCGGGCACGCTCCGGGCCGCGCTCGCCCTCTACACAAAGCTGGCCACGACGATGAAAATGGACGGCGTGACCGTGACGGAGGAGGCGGAGGTCGAGAAAGTCAAGGCGTTCTCGCTCGCGATCGGTGCAGAGGTCCGCCGCCTCCAGCAATTCCCGAACGGATTCGAGGGCGTCGGGGCAATGTTGATCGTCTCGTTCGGCAACGAGCTCGTCGGCAAGTGCTCCAAGGAGGCGCTGCAGGCTGGCTTCGATTTCTGCAATGAGTTTTTCGAGGTGGCGGGAACGAGGGGAGCTTTGGTGAAACTCCAGGCCAACATCGATGATTCCAGAGATGGCGTGATCAATTTGATCCGTGCAAGCATCGCCCCAAATGTGGTCAGCGCTCTCCCCTTGGCCGAAGGGTTCGATGGGGCGCTCATTGACAACGATGGACAGATGGAGGTCTCTCTGGTGACCAGGCTTAGCAATCTCGACCAGTCCGAGGTGGTGACGACCATAGACAACACCAAGAGCGTTATCGCACTCCTGCGCAGGATCAACGCCGCGCAGGAGGTCGAAGGGATCGTCGAAGGGGCTCTCATGGCCAGCAGTACGTTGGAACTCATGAGTATTTCCATGCCTTGCATCATCGCGATTGCGAAGTTATCCCTTCTCGAGCTCACAGTTCCAATCGTGCCAGCAGAAATGGGTACTTCCGACGTCGCGCAGATTGCCCTGCCGGCCTCCGATGCCATCGACAAGTTCTGGACAGCCTTCAACAAGGTGACCCTTGAGTTCAAAGCCTTGTCGGCAGACATCATTTCCAAGATTGGGCCAGATTCTCCATTGCGGACCACGCTCGCGAAGTACGTCGATCGGGTGTCGCAGGAGCCCCATGGGAGGTAGGGAAGTATGGGGTATGGGGTATGGGGTATGGGGTATGGGGGGCCCTGGGCAGCCTTAGCTCTAGGCTCCAGGCCATTGGCCGAATTGCCGCCCATGGCCCGATCTCGAGGATATTAGTGATTAGTCACGAGACTCATCACTCATCGACTCATCCTTCGGATTCCGAGCTCAACAGTGAGGTAGTGGCTAGCGAGCTCTGAGTTTCGAGCTTTGAACTTTGAATCTCAATCTGACCATCTGACGATCTGACCCGGCGCCGCCCCTGGCCCCCAGGCCCCCGAGCCCCAAGCCCCAAGCCCCCAAGCCCCGACCCCTGACCCGTGACCTCTGACCGAGAGATCTCTGAGATCGGCTAAGGGCTAAGGGGCCAATAATCAATAATCTAATATCTAATAGCTAAGACCAAAGCTTCAAAGCTAAGAGCTAAGACCAAGTACGGAGCAATAGGCGTTAAGACGTCAAGACATTAAGGCTTCAGGCATAGGCCAAGGGCCAAGACCCAAGGCCCAAGGCCCCGTCGGGGCTCCATAACTCAATAGCTTCAGAATGGTCAATTGCCCGGGGCTCAGGGGGGGTCGGTCTGGCATCTGGCATCTGGCGGCCCGGCGTCTGGCGGCCCCCTGGCCCCTGGCCGATGCCTGAGGCCTGAAGCTGAGGCGCCGAGGCCCCTATGGCACATCAGAGATGAATCAGCCCAGGGTCCACGGCCTTGGCCCTGGGCCACTGGAGACTGGAGCATTAGAGATTAGAGCATTAGATATTAGAGCCTGGGCGCCTGGGTTTTGCCGCCAGCCCTCTCTCCCTCTCTGGAGGACGCGTTCACCATCGGGAAAATAATTCAGGCCAAGGTGGAGGTGGACAGCAACGAGCTGCAGAACATCACGCCCGACTTCAAGCCGTTCTACAAGAAGTTAGATGAGCACTTCGATTCCATCATAGACTTCCCTGATCGGGAGAGGCTCAGCCACTTGGTCAAGGAGCTGAATGGGGCTTCTGGGCTGGGCATCAAAGCGTTCCAGCGGGCGTGCGACACGCTCGGCGGCACGGCCATTCCAACCGACGACATGCAGAAGAAACTTCACGAAGTGAAGGAGATCCGCAAAAAGGCTCGGACTGCTGTGACCGTGCGGTCGGCCACGATCATCCTGAAGAAAAAGAAGAGCGCAGACGTGAAACATTTTTTTGTCCAGGCGAGTAGCTTGGGCGTGACAGTGCCTGGCGAGCTGAAGAGCCGCTTGGAGGCACTGCAGAAGCAATGAACAATGATGCTTCTAATATTCTCCTGCATCGCTGCACCGCGTCACTCTACCTTCTCTACCAGGACGCCAGCACCTGCGCAGCCAAGCCCCAAGCCCCAAGCCAGACCCCAGTCGTATGCTTGCGCGTTTACAGGCTTGCGCACGCGTTTTGAGAGGTCAGGGGTCAGGCGTCCGGCGCTGCAATAGGATCTGGCATCTGGCGCAGCTGGCGCGCTGGTGGGCGAATCAGCGAATCCAACATTTAACGGGCGAGCGGAGACCTCGGGCCTTGGCGAACCGAGGCCCGAAGTCGAGCGTCGAGTCGTCGAATCGTCGAGTCTGGCCCGTCGGATTCGCCCGCCAGCAGCGCCGGATTCCATTGCAGTGCGAGATCCCGTTCTGTGCGTTTCATTTTTTTGTCGCTGGGCTGGGGCTGGTGGCTGGTGGGCGAATCCAACGGGCGAGACTCGACCTCGGGCCTCAGCCCTCAGCTCGGAGCTCGGCGAGGTCGTCACAGGTTGCGACGCCGCCACTGGCCACTGCCGCCGCGAGCCAAGATCCAGGATCCAGGATTTGGCGCCTCCATTCTCCAGTCTCCAGCCTCCAGCCTGAGGTGTGCTGGCGTGCCGTCCCCTCGCCTTCAGCGTTCAGCCTTCGCCTCGTCTTCGCCTCGCCCCTCACCCCTGGCCATGATCATTATTTCACCGATCAATTGTTCGTTTCCTCATGCTCTCATGCTTCTTCTCTCTTTGCGCCTCAGGCGCTCAGGCGCCCAGCGCCCATCTGCATGTGGTGCGTTTTGCGTTTGTGTATGTGCGCGTGTTGTGCGCCAGCGTAGCTCGAGAGCATAGTACATTGAGGATGTGGCGCATCTGCGCTGCTCGGCCACTGCGAAGTAAATGAGTAAATGCCTCCCCGCCTCCCCTCTCTCCCCTCTCCCCCCCCCTCCTCCTGCCCTCTGCTTCCTGCCTTCCCCTTCACATCTCTACTTGCGTACTTGCGTAATCTGAAAAGGGTTGATGGCCTCGGGCCTCGGGGGCGCGAATATCGAGTACATTGCGCAGGATTATGGCTTCGGGGGCGCGAATCTTGCATCTTGCATATTTTCACGTGTCCCACGCGCCCCGCCGGAGAATTCGGGCAACGCGATCCAGGCGTGGTCCATTGCCGGTTTGGGCCTCCCCCCTCGCGCGGATTTGAAGCAGAACGATTTGAAATTGCAGTGGCGCAGGGAGCAGCAATTTCGGCCCACAGCCTGGTGCCTGGTGGCCCCGCAAGGGGGCCGACGGATTTTCCAACCTTGGTCCTAATGCTGCCCCAATGCGGCTCAAGATCGTCCCAGAGCGGCCCAAGGCCCAAGGCGCCCCCCACCCACAGCCCCTTGAGCCCTTGAGCTCCCGAAGGCCCAGCTGGGCTCCAAAGTTGCCTGAGGGCCCGAGAGCTTCAAACATGTGGCATGTAGCTCAGGAGACCGTGACTTACAGCCTACGAAGCAAGCAGCAAGCAGCAGCAATCAGCAGCAGCAAGCAGCGAGCCAGCAATCAAGCAAGCAGAAAGCATTAAGCAAGACAGCCAGCAAGCCAGCCAGCCAGCAAGCAAGCAGGCAGGCAAGCAGCAAGCCAATACAAGCAGGCAGCACGTTTGCAAGCAGCACTGGCAGCTACACAAGCAGCAGACATCGACTTCTCGAGCCTCCAACCCAACACCCCAACATCCAACACCCCCTCCAAATCGGCAACATCCCCGAGGAATAGGCCCCCAGACCCTGGGACCCTGTGAGGGGGGTCTGTCCGGATTCTGGATCGTCTGGATTGGTCTTCCACCTCTGATCGATGGTTGACTGCCCTCGAGCCCGAACACAGCCCCCAGAGGTTTACGAGGACGACGAACCTCCTCAAACCTCAAGCCTCGACGCTCCTCGCCCATCTCCCCGCGGCCGTCGTTTCTCCTTTCTCTCTCCTCCCACTTCGCTGATCGCCCGCCGCTTCTCTCCCTCGATCTCCTCGGCGTTCTCGATCCTGACTCCTCGTTATTCGATCCTCTCCCAGCGGCAGGTTGTGTCAGAACGCTGCAGCAGCGAGGTAGCAGGTAGCAGAGGTAGCAGCAGCGAATTGCAGCAACGCGAAGCGGGCCGCAGCAGCAGCAGCAGCGATGGGAGCGCACAGCAGCAGCAAATCGCAGCAGTCAGCGGGCAGTAGCAGGCACAAAGCAAGATTGGCCCATCAGTAGCAGCTTGCAGCTACAAGCATACAAGCAGCAACAGCACGCAGCAACGGTTAGCAGTTATCAGTCAGCATGACCAACCGAACGCATCAGAGGTAGCAAACAGCAGAACGCAATAGCAAGTAGCAAAAGCGGAATGTGTTCGAGCCCTACGTCATCATGTCAGCCCTTGGCCAGCGGCCAGCATGTCCACCACCGCATGCCAATTCGTGAAGAATCGTGGATGTAATATGTAGTCATGTAGTCCACAGCGTCAGCCGTCAGCCCTGGTCAGCAGGTCAGCTACACCGCTGGGCTCAGCGCTCAGCGCGTGCGAGAAGGGCAGGCAGGCGAGCAGGCAAGCAGTGGCAGCGGGCGCTCGCGATGCTCAGCGAGATGGGAGAGGCGAGGCTGGAGGCTGGAGGCTGGAACGCGACGTCATATGTGCCACAATGCAGGGCCCTTTGCATCGCGGAAGGTCCAGGGCCCGAGCGGGCCCAACAGGTCTGGGATGCGCCCCGAGAGCCCAGATGTCAAGATGACCCCAGCAGATCCAACATTGCGTTCCACAGAGCCCAGAATGGCTGCAGGTGGCTGCAAGAGTGGCCCGATCTCGGCGCGAGAGGCTCGAACAGAAAATACGAGAGGTATCCAAGAGTCCAAGAGTCTTGCGAAATGACCCCTGAAGAGCCCGAAGTTGCCAGAACTGCTGATGTTCCATGAATTGTTCTGAGGGGGTCGTGTTCTCCAGCCTCCAGCCTCCAGCTCGTCCATGAGTTGTTCTGAGGGGGTCGTCGAGGCAGAGGGGGCGGGCCCCCGGGACTCCTCCCCCCTTCCCCCTCCCTCCCCGTCCTCCTCCTCGCCACGTGGCGATTATGGTGAAACGCTTTTCGGTCATGTTGGTTATGGCGAACACGTTATACTCACTCAGTCAGCCCAGACTCACTTATACACACAGACACTCACACTGTCGCACGTTATGGTGGTTTCACGTTTCGATTATGTTGGCAATGCTGCTTATGGCGAGTGCACGTTTCGATTATGGTAAGCACGCGTTTCGATTATGGCAAGCAATTTCGTCCTTCGGCTTTCACTTTTTAGGCATGCCTAACATAGCCAATTTAGGATTTCAGGCATGCCTCTCTTACGCCCGCCTTGAGTCCGCAACCTCCACTTAGGCTTCCAGAGACTTAAAAGGAAAAAAGAAAAGCCAACCCTAGAGGCGTCGCCAAGCAAGACAAGATGATTTACTGTAAAGGCCCTTCACCGAAGTATGCACCGTGGATCAATCACCAATCACCGTCGCTAAAAGAGGGGCTCATTGCATTTTTTGGGTTCGGGGTATGAGCGGGTACCCGGGAGGCGGGGATAAGCTTTGGATTTTGATCCACATTCATGGTTCGTTGAATAATCGTACCGACGTCTTGCAGCACAGGCCCTGTGGAAACGGCGTAGGCGCCCGAGATTGAATCTGACCTGCACCGGCACGTCCAGCAGCGATGGAGCGGGGCCTCCGCTTTCTCGGCGCATCGTGGGCGCATGCCGCTGTTGCCTGCTTCGCGCCGCCCGCGCACTGGCCCCGCAAGCCCCGACCGCGGTGGCCATCCTGAGCTCTGCGCGGCGCCCGCCAGGCGGCACCCCACACTGCTGGTGCTGGTCACGAAGCTTCACCTCGAGGTGGCCCACGCCTTCCCCGAGCCGGGGCCGCCTACAATCCGACTCGGTGCGATTCGATGTTTTTTTTTTTGGTTGGGGCCACGATAGCGATCCGACTCGATTCGGCCCGGTTCGCTGGCATCGGCCGGGGCCAGCTGGGGCCAGGCGCCGAGGCGCGGCTTCGCTTCGCTGGCGATGCGATGCGTGTCCGAGACGATCTGGGATTTCGCGGGGTGGTCCGGCTCAGGCCAGCCAGACCTGCGCCGCAGAAGGGCGTGAATCGGGACGACCGACCTGGGTACGGAAAGGATGGGTACAATGCCCAACAACAGTTCCTGTTCATTTTGAGCATGACTCGCTGTCCGCGCCGCCGCGGCCCGTGTCTATTCGAGACAGCAGGCCGCCCGCCCAACAGCGGCCGCTGTTCGTTTGGGACAGCACTTGTTGTCGGGCATTGTGCCCATTCTTTCCGTGCCCATCTCGGGCGTCCCAGAGAGGCTGGGCGGCTCCGGTGCAAGCGGGTCGGTGAAGCGATCTTCGGCCAACCCTTCTGGGGGCCCGTCTACGGGCAGGAACGCCTGCTCCGCGACTCGCCCAGCACGTCCGACGGCAGATGGCTTGGCCGTCTCGGCCTCTGCTGGGGGCACGCCACGCGCCGGGCCCCGGGGGACCGGCGCAAAACGACTTTCGGTCCTCCTTCCCTCCTCCTCCTCCTCCTCCTCCTTACCCTCCTCCTCCTCCTCCTCCTCCTTACCCTCCTCCTCCTCCTCCTCCTCCTCCTCCTCCTCCTCCTCCTCACCCTCCTCCTCCTCCTCCTCCTCCTCCTCCTCCTCCTCCTCCTCCTGCCCCGCCCCTCCCTGGGGGATGGGCCCGGACTTCTGCGGACCTCGCATGGTTCGGACAGATGCAGAGCTACACTTTGGGCGAGTGTATTAGTTTCTCTCGGGGATCCCGAAATTTCAAACTTAATTTTGGGCTATCGTTCCAAAGTTTGTTTTGCCCGCCATTCGAGGGGGGCCATCGCGTTTGTCGGATTTGCGAGGGCCTCGACGTCGCTAGCCAGAGTCGGCGTGGAATCAGAAATAACAACTCGCGATTAGGAGGCGGAGGCGGAGCGCGCATATCTTTTAAAATCTTCGAAACATCGTCACCAGGCGAGTTGCCCTGATCACGGGGGGGGCAAAGAGGATGGAGGGATCCAGAACAAGGTCAGAGGTCGTAGCGACCACCAGCGCTCGTGGGACCCATGATGGGCTACAGGAGGAACCCCCAGTGCCCCCAAAACGCCCCACGGGGGCCCCAGACGCCACGACCTCCAGATCGAGACCAAATGTCGTGGCGAGCAGGTGCGCTCCTGGGACCTCCCGAGCGCCCCAGGAAGAATCCAAGACCCCGCCAAGCGCTCCAGGAGACCCCCAAGACGCTGCGACCTCAGATTGCGGCTGGAGGTCGTGGAGCGCTCTTGGGGCCCCCAGGGACCTCGTTGCGTGCCCTTGGCCGCAGTTGGGTCCCTTTCGGGCATCCCTGGGACGTCCAGCCTCCGCCGCCCTGAGGGCGGCTGGGATTTCAGCGGCCCCTGCCCTCCTGACTCTGCGGGGGGGCGCGGCGACGCCCCCGACCTGTACCCTGCCACTTTCGCTAGGTGCCGGTCTATACGTGCTCGCCCCGCTCGAGACATCAAGCACGTTCAGAACTACACTTAGCCAGGCGCTAGGTGTAGTTCTGTACGTGCTGGTTTCGCCAGGGACATCCTCACAAAACAGAGCACTCATATAACTACACCTAGCCAGCGGGGCGGGGTACATGTCGGGGGCGCGACTCGCGCTCCCGACGTGCACCGTGCCCCGGCCGCTAAGTGTAGTTCTGTACGTGTCCCCTTTTGGCGAAGCATCGGCTGCCCGTGCTGCCCATCTCCGAGGCCCCGTCCCCAGGGCCGCTCCCCGCCGACTTCCCACTTCCTCAGGCTCAGCGAAACCACCTGCATGGCCGCTGTCCTTTTCCGCCTCGCACTGCCCGCTGCCCTTCCCCGCCTCTGCCCCAGTATGATGACCCCAGTGTTTTCTGTGCTTTGGGGCGCCGCTTTGCCTCAGGCGTGATCTCCTCCCTCGTCTCGTGTCTCCGTGCCTTAGCAGCCTCTTTCATTATGTCCTTCCACTTCCACCTCATCCCCGTGTCTCGCCAAGTTTTGTAGCCGCGATCGGTTCTATGCGTGCTGTAAGTAAATGCCTGGCCAGACGCCCCACGCCTTCGAATTCTTTTCCGTGCTGGATGCCCCCTCCACGGATGAAGCGGCAGTTCGCGTTATCATTTCCTGTTGCAGCAGCCGCTTAGCCCCGCCGTGAAACATGCTGATAGTTGCAACGCTTGGCGCCCCACGTGTTTCGCATGACCAGCGCTCCCCGTCGTAGGTCGCGAGGCGGTGCCCGTCCACCCAGACCGACCAGCGCGCCTAACCGAATTTTGATTGCCCCCCCTGGTCCCCGCAACTGGGTGGAGTTTTGCTAAGTGTAGTTTTTGATGTGTTCGAATGGTAAGAAGCGCAAGGCGTCGCACGTCGGGGGACGGTGCGAGTTCACTGCCTGTGCGGTCAGGAGCGCTGGCTCAGCGTGTCGCGCCGCCCCACGTCCTGGCCGAAGCTGCGGCGCGACGCGCCAGGCATGTCGCAGCCCCCAGGCATCAGCTTCCCAAGCTCTTTCCTGGCATCCCGTTGCCGTTGCACGAGGCAGAGCGACACGCCATCAGCCTGCAGAGCATGCCTTGTTGCAGGGCCGCCGCCGCGACACCAAAAGTTCCCGACATGCTTAGCGTGTCGCCCCTCTTGGTTCTGGCCCACCACGCTTCGGCGCGACATGCTAAGCACAGCTCAGTCCCCGAGCATCGACGCTCCGAGCTTTCCCCAGCCTCCCTCCTCCTCCTCGGGCCCGCCTCCCCAGCTCAGGACCACATCGACGCAGAGGGCGTACTGACCTTCAAGCTGGAGACATTCGTCGCCACGGGGGGGCGGGGGGTGGCTCAGCTGCTTGCTGCTTCGGACTCTGGCCGGAGGACAGAGGCTATACTGATCTTGGCGGGGGCCCATCCTTGGCCCGAGCGCGCCCTCCTGGCATCGCTTAGGGGCCCCCCAGACGGCGTGGTGACCACACAGTGTGGCGAGCCAGTGGGGACTCGGGGTCACCACGCGGTCTTGGGACTCGGGTCGTTCTCCGAGGCTGCCTCGGGCCACCCGGGCCTCCGAGGACCAAAGGCCGTGCGGTGACGGACCGCGCAGTGAGGTTGATGGGGAGTCCGAGGTCACACCGCGGTCCGTCCTCACACGATTCCTGGGCTCCCCGAATCTCGCACGGCGAGGGGAAAAACCGCTGTGGAGGAAGCGGGTCCTCACGGGAACGGGGCCCGGAGGAGGAGCTCCCCGTCCGTCCCTCTGCTCCTCCCCCTCCCTGCCCTTCGACCTCCATGCCTCCCAGAGACCTCGAACCTCTCACAGCGGGGCGGGGGTCCGCTTCCGACGGCCGCCCAAAGCCCGGAGAGAGCGCCCACCCCCGAGGCCGGAGAGCGAGGGGGCCGCGGGGGCGCAGGGCGGGAAGAGCTATAAGCATCGGTCCACGGCCGGAGGCCCCGGGGCTGCGGGGCCCTGCAGGTGGCAGGTCGGCAGCCGAAGACGACGACGAGGGGTCGGCCTAGGGGGGCACATGCGAACCCTACCCCTGCCCCCCACGATTTCTGAGGGGGAGGGTGGGGTTCACTTTGCTCGGGAGCTCCCGAACGAAGTGAACCCCACCCTCCCCCTCAGAAGTCGTGGGGGGCAGGGGTAGGGTTCGCATGTGGTCCCCTATCGGCCCCCAGGGCCCGTCGTCGGTCTTGTGCTGCCCGGCCTCTCGAGGCGGATGCAGCCGTGTCCACCCCGGGGGTGCCGCCGAGGCCCAGGAGCGTGTCGGAGCGTCCCCTCGAGCGGCGACCAACGGCCAACGACTGACGACCACCGACGACCCACTACCGATGACGGCCGACGACCAACGGTCGTCGTCGACGACGACGACGACGACCGTTGACGGCCTCTGGAAATCTCGGTAGGTCGTCGCGAGTCCCAGTGAATCCAAAAGGAGGGAGGGAGAGGAGGAGGAGGAGGAGGAGGAGGAGGAGGAGGAGGAGGAGGAGGAGGAGGAGGAGGAGCAGGAGGAGGACGAGCAGGAGGAGGAGGAGGAGGAGGAGGAGGAGGAGGAGGAGGAGGTTAATTGAAGGCGGAGGAAGCGTTACTCTGTGCCCATCAGGGTTACTCTACTATTTCCTTTTTTGCACTATCCACTCTGCACGTGCCATCAACGTGTTATGTGTTATCTCAGGCCTACGTTGGCTGTTTGCAACCGCCTAGATCATCATGTATGGCTAATGTCGAAATGAGGAGGAGGAGGAGGAGGAGGAGGAGGAGGAGGAGGAGGAAGAGGCGGAGGGGAAAGGGAATGAAAAGGAGGCCGAGGATGATCAGCAGAAGGAGATCCTTCAGTGGCAGGCTAGCCCGAAGCTCTCCCCAATTCCAGCATCGAACCTCGATCGTCGACCCGCGTATCATCGCATCCTCAACCAGAAGCGTCGATCCTCGAGCCCTCAGGCCCTCGATCGATCGAAGCAGATGGCGACGACGAGGAAACTGCACCTCCCCTTGCGGCAGATCGGCCTGGAAGCCTCCCGGTGGGGCTCGCACCCCGAGCCCCCCTTCCAGTTCGACCCTGGAGCCTATTCGGACCCTCGACGGATCGACGGCGACGACGAGGAGGAGACACCCCAGGAGGAGGAGGAGGAGGAGGAGGAGGAGGAGGAGGAGGAGGAGGAGGAGGAGGAGGAGGAGGAGGAGGGGAGGAAGAGGAGGAAGAGGGGGCGTCCTGCTCTTCGCGGCGCGGCTACCTGGAGGTCTGGGCGCCTCCCTGGGGGCCGGCCTCTCACCGCGAGAGACATCAGTGACGGCGCCGTGGCCCGGCGAGGGTCCGCCACGCGCAGAGGGGGGCATAGGGGGGAGGGGGGGGAGGTTTCCTAGAAGGCGACGAGGACGACGACGAGGACGACGACGAGGACGACGACGACGACGAGGACGACGACGACGAGGACGACGAGGACGACGACGACGAGGACGACGACGACGAGGACGACGAGGACGAGGACGACGAGGACGAGGACGACGACGCCGGGGACGACGAGGTCATCGGCCACGCGCAGAGGGGGGTAGAGGGGAGGGGGGAAGTTTCTAAGAAGCACCCCTGCTTCTTAGAGGGCGCGGGCCTTGGTTCTAGATGTAGGGCCGGCGCCATCGAAGAAGCAGCCTCCTTCTCAGAAGACTTTTCCTCTCCCCTCACCACCCTCGGCCACGCGCAAAGTGGGATGGGGGGGGGGGAATGCTTCCTGGAAGCACCCCTGCTTCTTAGAAGGCGCGGACCTTGTCTACAAATGCAGGGCCGGCGCCTTCTAAGAAGCAGCCTGGTTCTCGGAAGCTTTCCCCTCCCCCCCTTACCACCCTCTGCGCACCGCCAAATAGATTCGGAAGGCCTTCCGTCGTGGATCCTTCACGACGCGAGGAGGCGGAGGACCCTCGGGCTCTCGATGATCCATGGTGCAGGCAGGGTCCACTCCCACCCGTGCAGGATCTGGTGTCGATTCCAGCCGGCTCGATCGGGTTCGACTCCGGCATTCCAGAGATGCGAAGCTCGCCCTGGGGGGAACGGGTCCTGAGGGAAGCGGGCCCTGAGGTTTTTCGCCGTTTTCGGGCTCTCGGGGCCCTCCACGGGCTCAGGATGAGGATCTCGTCCTGGGGGAAGGCCCCAGGAGGAGGAGGAGGAGGAGGAGGAGGAGGAGGAGGAGGAGGAGGAGGAGGAGGGGGAGGAGGAGGGGCAGGAGGAGGAGGAGGAGAGGAGGAGGAGGAGGAGGGAGGAGGGGAGGAGGGAGGAGGAGGGAGGAGGAGGAGGAGGAGGAGAGGAGGAGGAGGAGGAGGAGGGGAAGGGGGAGGGGGAAGGGGAGGAGGAGGGGAAGACCCAGGACCCGTTCCACCTCAGGTTGAGAAGCAGCCCGATGCTTGCGAGACGCTATTGTACGCACCCTGGAGCGGCGGAGCCCATGCGGTCCCGGCTCCGTGCCGAGGCAGCCCAGCGCGGCGCACGTTTCGCTGCGATCGCGTCTCTCTGCCTCGATGTTGGCCGAGCTTGCGAGGAGCCCTTGGCCCCCCGTCTTTGCGGCAGGTCGACCAGGGGGCCTCCCCGATGCCAACCTCGAGCCCCGCTCGCCGAGCCGTGGAACCTCCGGCCCTCGAGCCCTCGGAGCCCTTCGTGGATCCAAGTCGAGCTGCTCCCAAACCTCGGGCCCTCGATGGGCGGCCGCGGCGGCGAGGCCACTATCTCTTGATGCAGGTCAACCTGCGGCGGCTGCCACGGCGAAGAGGAGGAGGAGGAGAAGGATCAGGAAAAGGAGGAGGAGAAGGACAAGGAGAAGGAGGAGGAGGAGGAAAAGGAGAAGGAGAAGGAGAAGGAGAAGGAGAAGGAGAAGGAGAAGGAGAAGGAGGTGGGAGGAGGAGGAAAGGAGGAGGAGGAAGGAGAAGGAGGAGGAGGAGGAGAAGGAGGAGGCAAAGGAGGATGGAGGGGAGGAGGAGGAGGAGGAGGAGGAGGAGGGAGGGAGGAGGAGGAGGAGGAGGAGGAGGAGGAGGAGGAGGGGGAGAGGAGAGGAGGAGGAGGAGGAGGAGGAGGGAGGAGGAGGAGAGGAGGGGGAGGGAGGAGGAGGAGGAGGAGAGGAGGAGGAGGAGAAGAAGAAGGAGAAGGAGGTGAAGGCGGAGAAGGAGGCGGAGGAAGAGGTGGGGGGGCAGAAGGAGGGAAGGAGGAGGAGGAGGAGGAGGAGGAGGAGGAGGAGGAGGAGGAGGAGGAGGAGGAGGAGGCTCGGAGGAGGAGCAGGAGGAGGAGGTGGAGTGGGGGGTGGGGGGGGCAGAAGGAGGGTGAGGAGTACGAGGAGGAGGAGGAGGAGGAGGAGAGGGAGGAACAGGAGGAGGAGGAGGAGGCGGAGGAGGAGGAGGAGGAGGAGGAGGAGGGAGGAGAGGAGGAGGAGGAGGGGAGGGAGGAGGAGGAGGAGGAGGAGGAGGGAGGAGGAGGAGGAGGAGGAGGAGGAGGAGAGGAGGAGGAGGAGGAGGAGGAGGAGCCTGTGGCAGGTCAACCTGAAGGTCTCCCAGTGGGACTGCAGCTGCCTCTCCGCAGAGCTCCCCTGCGCCGCCGTGGTCGGCAGCCCCTTCACCCCGGAGCCGCCCCGGCGGGCAGCGCGAGCGCGTCCGCGGCAGCGGCTGTTGGAGGCTCTTCCCCAGACGAGGCAAGGGCGAGGCACCCTGGCTTGCCTATACCCGTCGGTTGCTGAAAGTATGTATTTCTGGACTCCCGGGTCCCATTTGCTTCTAGCGCCTTCCTGCTTCAATCATCGATGTGTTTTCGCTGCGTTGTGTTATTCTCTCGGTGGGCCTGAGCCCAATCTCCTTCACCCGCCTGCCTACTCCACGTTTTCACTTACTTCTTCCGACCAACATGTAAGCCTATGTGGCACCCCGCAGGTGCGGATGAGAGTGAGGGGGCGGCCGCGGAGTGGGTCGCGAGCGGGTCGCTGGTGGGTCGCGGTTGGGTCGCGGTTGGGTCGCGGGCGGGTCGTGGGCCGGGCCGCGGGCCGGGTCGCGAGCGGGCCGGGCAGGGCAACGCAACAATTATCCGCACCGCGAAATTCTTCTTCAGCCATGTTCCCGTGCACAGTGAATGACCGTGCGGCCCCCTCACTCTGACCAGAGAATGTTCAAAGTGGTTTGCACGATCTGTTTTTCGAGCATTTCTGGCCGAGACCGTCGAGACCGGCGTTCTGCTCTGAGGGCACTGTATTTGTTGCATGGACGTTCTGTTGTTCGAAGAAGATTTCGTGGTAGCCCCATCAGGATACCAGCACGGTCGGTCCCTGCTCAAGCAGACCCCATCTGGTTATGCAAAGTGCACGGTGGAAATGGTTTGATAGTTTTCGTCTTTTCGAGGGCCCTTACCGAGCCATGGGGTGCGGCAAACAACGACGCAGGATTAGAAGCCAGTCCCAGGGAAGAGGTCCACCCCAGACTCGGGCATGGAGAGCACGCCCATCCAGACAAGTCGACAAAGGAAATCTGTGCCGGTTCACTCGACGTCGGCATTCGAGTGTACCTGGTGCATTCCGCAGTCGGCTCCGCTGATCGACGCGCGTCTCGCTGGATAAATTCGGTTGTGTTCGGACGTCGATTCGCTATTATGCCCACGTCTACTCGGAATGCTGTGCCCTGCGCACGTGGAATGCCCCTGGCCTCTCTCACGAAAGGGTTCTTTGCCGAAGGGAGTTAGTTCTGTCCACCCCCCGAAAGACCTCCTCCGGTTATGAGAGGCTCACAGCGGGATTTGCTTGCTGGTTTTCGGCCCCCGGGTGCCCTTGCCAGGCCCCGGGAGCGCCAGAACACGACGCGGGAAGAGCAGCCGATCGTGGGGAAGGGGTCCAGACATCCGGGGTCCGCCCTGTGAGCAAAGATTGGGGGGCTCGTAGGGGGGGGGGGGGGGGGCGAGAAGTGGCGGGGGCAGAGGGGGCTGGAGACAAGGAGCTCATTAGGGCCCCTGCATTAGGGCCCCTCGAGGGGCCCGTTGGGACCCCGAAGGGGGCCTCTGGGGCCCAAGAAGGGCGCCCTTCTACCCCCCCCCCCCATTTTTCGCACCCCCGTTAAAAGGAACGCCCGAGGACAACAGGTCGAGTCGAGGTTTTGAGGTTTCTGTCGTGGTCGTCGGTTCTCGGGGGGTTCTCCCAGCCGCGGGGTGCTCCGGCTCCAGCAGCTGCCCCTCGCCCCGTGGCATCGCTCGGACGTGTGCGTGTTTTTTCTCGGCGAGGCGCCTCGGGGAGCATGTTGGGGTCATCTTGCGCACTGCATGGCGGCAGCTGCGACCGCTTAGATTGCCACTGCTTTGCTCCCATCGTGGTCTTGGTCGCGCTATTGGGATAGCCCTCTTGAGGGGCAGCGGAATTCTAGTTTCCTTTGCCGTGGAAAAAGTGTTGGGGTCATCTTGCGCAAGAAGTGCACGCACGAAGTCGCAAACCATGCAAGGGGAAGGGGCGCGCGAGCGATGGCGAGGTCCCGGGGGTGCTCGGATCGTTGCAAACAGCTGCCAGGGACCTGAGGTGTGGCCCGAAGGCCGGGCCGGGGGGGGGGCAACGGCAGGAGGGGGCTGGCCCATTGCAGGGGGTTGCAGTACAGTCGGACCGAGGTATCAGATCGAGGTCGGCCCGGGGAGAGTAGTCTGGTGTTCTTCGTGCTTTGTTGGTGTTCTTGTGCATCCAGGGGAGGGTACCCTAATGTTCTTCGTCTGTGTTGGATGCTCCTGTGCATCCTGGGGAGGGTGCCCTTGGATGTTCTGTGTTCTGGCCAGCGGAGGGTCTCGTGTTTTTGAAGGATGTTCTTTTGTCCCAGGTCCGATTGTAGGCAAACCAAAAAGAAGTCGGCCTGCCAGCAGCTCTCCCATGGACCATCAGGTACCCACAGAAGCTCTGGGACACCTCAGGACACTCAGAGATGTGCGAAGAGTGTGCCCCAACGATGTCTTGCCGCAAGATTATTTATCGGTTGTGTGTATTCTATCCGTTCTCAGGCAGTGCCAGGGGGGTCATCACAAAGGTAGGGAACTACCTCTGCCATGAGATCGGGGGACGAGGAGGAGGAGGAGGAGGAGGAGGAGGAGGGAGGATCGGGGACCAAGGATTTTTGTTGGACTAATCTCTGGGCGCCTCTGGGTGTCTTGGGAGGCATCCGTTTTCTGGAGGAGGTGGTGGCCCCTTGGCATGACCTGGCATGCCCCTCGCGGGCTCGATGCTGAATCTTTGGAATTGCGGCAGGTGCGTTGGATGTTTAGCCGATGTGCAACAGAAGTTCAGACATAAGAGCCCGAAGTTCTTTGTCACCGCTTCGTGATTCCAAGTGGTGGTTAGCGGGGCTGGGATTGCACCGTTTCAAAAAATGCCAATCAGCATGCATGTTACAAATTGGTGTGTTGACCTGTTCGGGGAACTCGCGTTTGCGCAGGCAGGCAGCGGTGCACACCACCGCACTGATCATCGAGTCAGAACTTCCAATGGACATCGAGGCGTGATCCCTTGCATACGCGATCTTACGGATACTCGGGGATGACACAATTTTGTAAACATTGCTGGTTTCTCGGATCGCCGCTGGACCCCCCCCCTTGGCGCGCGGAGCGCGATAGGGGCGGCGCTGGAGGCGCCGCCAGGGGGGGGTCCAGCGCCGATCTCAGAGAGCCCCGCGCGGAGCGCCCTCGCAAAGCCTGGCTGCCTCCGCGTGGGGTCAGCTGCCGCGCAGGCCCGAGCCGCGAGGCTCGTGGAGACGGGCGCACGCCCAAATCCGGGCTTGTGGAGATCGAGGCGACACTGCTGCGGTCGGCGTTCTGCTTCGGGGGCGGCCAAGAGGGGGGTGATGACCAGGTGGGGGGAGAGATCATGGCGGGGCCATGACATCTCCCCAGGTTTCACTGCGCCTCCTCTTACTGCTGTGCGTTCCCTGGCCCCCCCCCCCCCGGGGCTCGCGCCCATGCCTCGGTCCATGACCTGCGCCCGCCCTCCTGGGCGCCCCCTCTTGGCCGCCCCCGAGAGAATCCCGGAGGCCTCGCGCGGCAGCTTGAGGCTCAACGTGCGTCGGACTCACGTCGGAGCGCGTCGGGCTTACATCGGACTCATGTCAAATGCACATGGGATGTACGTCGGGACATCGCCGTGCGAACGTCGTCCCAAGTCTGACGGGGCAGACGCGCGGACTAGATCGTGCAACTGTTTTGCGCCCCGCGAGGCCTCCAGGATGTTTCTCACAGCGTTCTGGGAGAACGTGGCTTCGGCCAGGTCCGGGACCCACGAGGGGCCCAACACGTTTTTGTTGGCCCGCGTGCGCCAGGGCGTACGAGACGAGCAGGCGTTGGTCAGAGCGAGCGGTGGGCTGAAACGGAAGCTAACACAGGCACGAAGCGAACGAGCAAGAGCCTGTTCTTCTAGATTGCGGCAAGTTTACTCGCGTGGACTGGGGGTGGCGGCTGAACCTGAAGCAAACCGCAAACGACCTGCATTGAAGGAAATGACTCAAGTTGAAAGGCACCTGCACGTTAGTACTCGTCTGAAGAGGGGCGAGAAGGGAGGGGGGGGGGGGGGGGGGGCGAACGCCATGCAAGTTAAATTGCCCGAATCTCCTCCCCCAAAAAAAGAAAGGCTCCAAGGGACGAGAAAAGAGGCGGGGCGGAGCCCGATCAGGCCATGCTGGTCGGCGCGGGAGTGCCGGGAGGGCGTGCAGCTGCGCACGAGCATTGGGTCATTGGCCAGAGGTGGCAGGCCGTGCAGCTTGGTATCGCTCGGACGTGCGCATTCGAGGAGCATCTTGGATCATCTTGCGGAGGAACAAACACGCACGAAACCGACAAACGCACGGAGGATGGGCGTCCGAGCGATGGCAGAAGTAGGAGAAGAGGAGCACCAGGATGTCTGGGGGCAAAGGCTGGTGCCGCGGGGGCTCAGAGAGCCGTCCGTGAACAGGAAGCCCTTGGCGCCAGTGGCTGGACGTCAGGGTGCCGTGGGAAGCGGGCGCACCGTCGAAACTGAGGGGCCCCAGGCACTCAGAAAGACAGTTGTCGGGATTGGAGGATGGGGTCTGGGAGGGACGACCAGATCACCCGCATCATCGAGCATGCTGGTCGTGCTTATTTTCACAGTCGCACCCAGTATCTCCTGAACCCCTTCCTCTCAACACAATGATTCGTCGGACGGGGCTAGGACGAGGACAAATCCGTTCCAGAGCGTCCCAGAACGCTTTCAGAGCGCCCCGCCACTCCTCGGTGCACTGGGCGCCTCCTGGCGCCGGGAGGCGCCAGGGAAATCGGCGACGTGAGCTGCTTCGACCCAGGGACCCAGCCCCCCTCGGGTCAAGACGGGAGGCTCTGCCATATTTTCGGCTCCCGGAGCCTTCGCCGGGTCCCAGGGCCTTCCAGGGAACGAGTCTCAGGGCGAAGCGCCAGTTCCAGAGGAGTGGGTCGAGACCTCTGGGCGTCGACGCTGTGAACAAGATCCTGTTGTCGAGGGCTCGGGACGAAGCGCTGGTCCCCGGGGAGTGGGTCGAGACCTCTGGGCGTCGACGCTGTAATAAAAAATCGGGTCGCCGAGGGTCTGGGAAACCCGCGTGCGCCCCGCCTTCGCCTCTCCTGGCAGCACCGACGTCGCCTAGAGTCAAGCAGTGGCGAAGCGTCCTGGCTCGCCTAGAGGCCCACCAAAGAGTGTTCTAAGAACCTTGTGTGGTCTGCACGACACGTTCTTAGACCGTTTCTGGCTGAGACGGTCTTTTTCAACACATCGGGTTCATGTTCTACGACTATTGTTATCGCCCTTCGAATATTTGCGGGTTCTAAGAGCATTTCTTGGTAGCCCTACAGGAATGCCGGGACGGTCGGTCATTGCTCAATAGAGGTTGTCACCAACACCACGATCGGCGGTGTATCTTCAGCGCAGGAAGATGTTCCTGATCTCGGTGATGGTGGCAATATTCGGCCATCTAAGTGACCGAACTATTTCCACCAGCAACAACAACAAAAGACCATCTTACCCCTGTGGAGGACGTCTCCTGTGTTGGTGTTGGTGCCCGTTTCGAGGCCTGCAAGCACAGTCTGAGATTCGGGTTCAGTGTTTCGCGTCGCGGGTTCTGGCACACCATGCCTTGGCGCGACACGCCAACCATGCCCCGGTCCCTCAGCCTGGGATGCAATTCTTGGGGGAGGCTACATCCTGCATCGGCGCTGGCATGTGTGTTCGCGGTCGATAACCGGCTTCATCTGTGCGGATCTGGCTTTCTCCCGCTGAATACCGCGCGATCCGAACGTATCCGGCTAAATCCCGGGCTTAACCTGGCCTTACTGCCCTGAATTTTTCCAGCGGAGGCCTCCCAGGAGTTGCCTCCTGACTCGGCGTCCACGTCCCGAGTCTTGCCTGGCCTCCGCCCCCGCCCCGCCGAGCGGAGCGACGTGTTGTATCCGCTTGCACGACACGGCGTGTCGCCGGGGCCGCCGCCACGACACGCTCAGCAAAAGCTCACGGCCGTGACAACCGGCGTCGAGGACTTCGCGGTCCTTACAGACGACAGGGCCGTTGTGTGTGTTGCCGTTCATGTGATGCTTGAGTGCGGGGACGGTGAAGAAGTGTTCCCCGGAACAGTAACAGCAGGCGCGCCGGAATCGGAACGGCAGCCAGAACTAAACAAAAGGGCGGCGATTGAATTGGAGCAGTCGTCGGCGACAGAGCCAAACAACAACTGAACCAATTGAACCGGTGCAGCAAAGAGTCGCGTCGCGTCCACAGCCCTCTATGGTCGAAGATTGATGACCACACGTCGTGCATGTGTTCCTTCTTTGCCCTGCGAGGAGCTGAGGCGAGATGGCTTCCCGTGGCCGAGGGACGACCCTCGCGGAGGCCGCCTCGGCCGCGCGGAGGGGCGGGGCGCAGGAGGACTCCCTCGGGAGGGGCAGAAGGGTATCAACGGCACGCTGCCAGCGGGACTCCGTGAGCGTGCTGTCTTTCGCGCTCGTCCGGAAGCCTGGTGCTCCGTCAGCAGTATCGCGCTGAGGGGCTCCCCACGGCGGCGTGCCACTGGCAGTGTCTTCTCTCTCCTCCCCCCCCCCCAGGCGCCGAGTTTCGTTGCAACGAATCTCAAGTCGGGCCTGTCCCTCTACAGGAGGCATGTTCAGACACAGTTTTAACAGATGGTATGGGGACGATTTGTTGTTAGCATGATTTGGCTATGTTGGGTGTATGGTTAGGGTATTTGTTTTATTTTTCGCCTAAGATCCCCCTGTAGGAATCAGGCCACTCAGATAAGGATGGGGTTCTCGGGGGCAGGGCCTCGGGGGTGCTAGTCGGGCGTGCCCCTTGTCGAGGACGGGCACCCAGCCACCGTGCGTCCTCGAGCTGGCCCCGAATCTGTCGCCCAGCCCGAACTCCCGCAGAGTCGGGGATCGGGGTCGCCAGAATCAACGTAACAGGGACGGGGGAGGACTCTGGTGCTCTTCGTTCCGGGGTTCTTGGTGCTCCCTCGTCGCCGCGCTCTGGCCAGGACTTCAAGGGCGACGAGGGACGTCGTACGTCCCTTGTCGCCCTTGAAGCCCTGGCCAGAGCACACCCTGGGACAGGTCCAGGGGGTCGATCCGAGGGCGAGGACGGAGAGAGACTGACTGAGACCTCCAGCGTCCCGAGGCACAAACATGGCGGCGCTGGGTTTTCGCATGTCCTCTGCGAATGGGGGCCGTATCCGGCCCCGTTGCCGTTCGAGCCGCATCGCCGATGCATCAGCGATGCGCCGCGATTCCCCGGACCCCATCTACTCCGACCCCATCGAGGAGGCCTCATATGGAGCGGCCCGTGAGCCACGGAAGCTCCTTGCGCTGCGAGAGCGACTGCGTCCTCCCGCGCCTCCGAGGAGGAGAAGGCGCCCGTTGCGCTACCCTGTCCTCGTTGTCGCTTGCGTGGGCCTCCTGCGAGGCCCTCGTCGCCACCCCTGGGTTCGCCTCTAGATCCTGTGGCCCGCACCCCAGGAGAGGTCCGGCGAGTATCGATATCGGAACCCTTTGTAGTATCCCCGCAGTCGGCATGGCAGCAGCGTCTGATGAGTTGGAACGGTCGGGAACGTTTGTGCAGCATGTCGGGCTGCCTGAAGTCCTCACGGATTCCATGGACTGACGTGGGCCCCCCCCGGTGTCGCCGCTCTTGGCGCGCTCCGCGCGCCAGGGACGAGGGCCCATCGCCGATCCAAGAAATCCGCGCGGGCCTCCGAACGCTTGCGTTTATGTTGCTTGCCTTGCCGCTGGCTCTGGTCTTGGCACGCCTGCGTTTACAGGCATGCCCTGTGTCAGCTCCCACCGCTTGCGGTCGCTTTGGTCCGTGGCGGACAGCTGCTTGGCGGGGTCGGCCATCGGGCTCGTCCTGTCCGTGTGTTTGGCCGTTTGGTTGATGGCTTCCTTGCGTTATGATATTTGTCTCTTGTCGCCAGTGTCCTGCATACGTCCAGGAGTCTGCAAAATCATTCGTGGTCCGCTGAGCCATGCGCACGAGTGCATACTCTCACACCTTGACGCGCAGACACCAGGGCTGTTATCGAAAGCAAGGTGTGCAACTCCCGCTGAGCGGTGTGCCTAGTGCACGCTCACAGCGTGTCTCGTCTTGTTTGCGCTTGCCCAGACTATATGGAGCTCGACCTAAATTGCAACGTGGAGTACTACATGGACCTGCGTAAGACTCTTGGCTTCAACGCGTTGGGGCTCCTTCTCTTCATGCCCTTGTCTCGAGATATTACGAAGGACGGCTCCCAGAGGAAGAAGGGTGACTGAAGCGACGGTGGATGCAGCACGATAGTGCGTGGCAGTTTTTTGGGTGGGCGCATCGCAACAGCGAGTATAGGGCAGCTAAGTGGAACAGGGGATGGCAGGTAACGGAGGGTGGGGGGGGGCGATATTTACAGGGGTCTGTTTCTACATCGCCCTACTGTCCCCCAGCTGTGGGTAAGAACGAGGGGTCGCTCGGGTTGGGGCGCACAGTTGTGCATTCCATTCCAAAGCCACTGCAATCAGCATCACCCAAACAGTCCGCAAACAGTGCCTGCATCTGGGGGGTTCTTTTGTCTTTTCTAAGGACCTGGGCTCCGCTGATGGGTCCGCCGCCTTGTGGACGCCATCGCCGCCCCGCCGCCGCCTCGTCGCCGCCCGTCGTCTGGGCTCCGTCGCCAGGCCCGCCGCCCGCCGCCTCGCGGTCGCCGTCGCTGCCCCGTCGCCGCTCCGTCGCCGCCGCCCCGTTGCTCCCCCCCGCGCGGTGCAATCGAGCCGTTGCAACACAATCGATTGCAATTCAATCGGCTGCCATCGATTCGAAAGGCCCGTCTGCCGCTCTGCTTGCGGCTCCTTTCTCGCGCGTCGCCGCGGCCCCGTTGCATTCAAACCTCATGGGGGTGCGTGCACATTAATGACTTAGCGGATTTTGGGATGTCGGTCTCATCACCTCAGCGTGTCACTCAGTAGTCGTCTGGGCTCCAGAGTTTTCGCCGCATGCAGGGTGTGGCGGGAGCGTTCCTCGCTTTCCTGACCTTTGTGGTGCGGGACCACTTCGCGCGTCGGCCGCCCTGGGACGGCGGCGACGCCGACTGGTGCCGCGCGGAGGCTCTGGCACCGTCTCCCGCCCCGCCTGTGCAGGACGACGTTGTCTGCCCCGTGAGCTGGGTCCACCCTGGCATCGTGGAGGAGATCGCGCAGCAGCTCGTGGCTGATCGCTGCGTGTGCGAGGTTCAGTGCAACAGCGTGAGGAGGGACTTCGCCCTCTTCGCGGGCGGCGTGGGTTTCTTCGGCTTCGGACAGCTCATCTACGGTGTGACCTTCTTCGGCCAGTGCTGCTGCTGTCGACGGGATGGCGCTCGCGGTGGCGCCGCGGGCCGTGCGACTCGGGGCCACAGGCGAGCGTCTTACGGTGCGGGAGTTCTTGAATGAGCTCCTCCCTGGCCGCCTCGTGGCGGTCAAGTACCCAGGAGAGGACCTCTACCACGAGAGGGTGGTGTTCGGCCCGTGCGCTCGCGACTTACTCGGCCGAGTGAGTCGCTGGGAGGTGCTGACGCCCGATCACGACAAGTACGACGAAGACATGACCATGGAGGGCGACGAAGGCGAAGCCATCGTCCTCCTGGACGACATGGGCAATTGTCCAGCGGGCCTGCGAGGAAGATTTTACCGCTTCGCTGGAGACCGCTATCCGAGCAGCCAGCAGATCGTGGACTGGGCCAGAGCCCAGGTCGACCAGATCAGGGCCGCTGGTGAGGAACCGCTGTCGATGACTCACTACATCGACCACGAGGGCTCTCGCAGGCCGCTGGCTGGCGTGGGCAGACGGCGCCGCCTGGGCGGTCCCGCGCCCTTGCCTGCGGGGGGGCCCGAGGCCCCTGGGGGCGTGGCCGCCGCTGGCGGCCTTGTGGCCTTGGACGGCGACGCCGACGGCGCTGGGGCTTCCGTGGGGCCCGCTGGCGCGGTCGGCCTGGGCGCTGTGCGCGACGCCACCGAGGACCTTTTCGGTCTTTTGCGTGCGCGCGGGGAGCCCGCCGAGGGTCGTGTCTAGATTGTTTGCGAGAGCTCCGACGAGCACGAGACCCTCGGGCTGGAGGTCACTTTGAGGCTTGGCGACATCGCCATCACTAGCCACGATGGACTGGTGCATCGGCACGGCGGGTTCTTGAGGGTTCGCTCGGTGCCTTCAAGCGAGTGCGTCGACTTCGTTGCCCGCCTCAAGGCTCGCAGCACGTCGGCGGCTGCTGAGCCGCCTGCTGGGGCTCTGGCGATCGGCGGCACGAAGACTCCTCCCATCGAGGCCGACGACGACGTCAGGACTTTGTGGGTCGACTACGACGAGTCTGGGAACCGTTTCAAGTCCTTCAAGAAGGCCGTGCAGGAGAGCCGCGAGGAGCCCATCACGGCCGTGGAGGTGCAGGGCCCGCCTGGCACGCTCCACCTCGCGCGGTTCATCGAGCGGTACGGCGGTGGCCCACGGCGCTGGTGGCAGGGCTTTGCTCGGGACCACGGCATCAGCAAGACGGACAGGGTCTACCACGAGATGACGAACCTCACGGAGAGCCTGAAGTTGTTCGGCGAGTACGACCAGCTCAACTTGGGTGCCTCCGCTGGCATCGAGAAGTTGACGAGACGCATCTGCGGGGTGATCGACGCCTACGCGACAGGCGGGGGTGTCCCCAGCTGGAGGATGGCAGGCGTTTACGAGGGCGAGGCCAACTCGATCGACGCCATCGCCCCCGCCTTGCGCAAGTGGGGCCTGACCAAGGTGAAGGACCAGAACGAGCTGGAGCAGGCTCGTTCGCGCCATCCGCGGCCCGCGGATGGCGCCGACCCGAGCGCCGCCCCGTCGGGCGCTGCGGGCCGTGGCGACGGCGGCCGCGGCCGCGGTGCTGGGGCAGGGCGGGGGGGGCCGCGGCAGAGGCGATGCGGCCGCCCCCGGTGGCGGGTGACCTAGACGACGGGTCGCGGATTGGCCCTCCATGCCGCGGCCCGCTGAGAGTGGGGGATTTTCGGGCGGGAGGGCGCCCCAAGCTTTTTGACCAGTTCCCGATCGCGCTGCCGCCTTTGGAGTCTGCGCCGACTTCGGGAGGGCGTCGGTCGAAGAGATACCGCAGACGTGACCACGTGCGGCAACTCGTCGAGGGCGTTTCAAATGCACTTAATTGGCTTGCTAAGACCGATGACCACCGACTTCCTGATCTCCGCGGGCGGCCTCAACATGTTTCGGAGCTCGGCCAGTGCCAGGTGATTCGCGAGCGTGACGAGGTGCTGTCCTACGTGGAGCAGTTGGCTGCGCTTCAGGTGCGCGACGGCGGCCATGAGCACTACTTGCCGCCAGAAGTGGCCCTTCGGGAGCTGCTCTGTGACAAGGCGTCTGGCTACAGGATGGACGCCTCTATGACTACGCTCGCGCCGTACCAGCGAGGTCGGGTCTCACTGCCTGAGAAGCGTGATGCGGTGTCGTCCGTCTTCGACCTGGTGGGGGACCGTGGCCGCGCCTACCTGGAGGGTGCAGGAGAGCGCATGCTCGATCCCAGTGCTAGTGACACGTTGGCTGGCGACGCTGATCGGTGTTATGTTGATCCCCAGCTCGCCAACAGCCCGAAGCTCTACGCCCGCTTCGCGCGCGACCTGAAGGCCAGGAACATGCTGGTCTTCGGCAAGTGGGCGCATGAGCGCACAGGACTTTTCTTCGTTCGAAAAAAGAGTGGGAAGCTCCGACTTATCCTCGACGCGCGGCGGACCAATCGGTGGTTTCGACCGCCGCCGCGCGTCGACCTTTTGACGGCCGAGGGCTTGGGCCGTATAGAGGTCGAGCTTCCCGACGACCAGGACTTCTCATCTCTCTACTGTGGCACAGCTGACGTGCAGGACGCGTTCCACAGGATGGGCATGCCGATGTGGCTGTCTCGCTGGTTCGGCTTGCCCCGTGTGCGAGCTCGAGACGTAGGGCTGACTTCTTGTGAGGACGGCCCCCTCGCGCCCGACGACTGGGTCACGCCGATGCCGAGCTGCCTCCCCATGGGCTTCGCCTGGAGCCTCTTCTTCGCCCAGGACATCGACGAGGAGGCCGCCAGCCAGGTTCTTCCTCGAGCTGAGCTGCTGCGCGACCGTGGCCAGCCGCTCGTGCTCTCGATGCGGGGAGCGGGCGCCACTGCGACGCGCCACTACATCTACGTGGACAACATCGGGGTGTTCGGCGCCGACGGCCGCATCGTGGCCTCGAAGCTCGAGGACGTGGTCTCTGCGTTCGAGTCTCGCGGGCTGGCGGTGCACGAGGTCGACGTCTCCGACGAGGGGGTGGAGGCGTTGGGCGTTCTGCTGGACGGCCGCAGGCGGCACACCCGCCTCATCGCCAAGCGCTTCTGGAGGGTGCGAGGGGCCATCCTGGCCCTCACCAGCCGCCGGCGGGTGACGGGTCAGCAGGTGGAGGCCATCCTCGGCCACGCCCTTCTGCGGCTTGCTGCGGCGCGAGACGCTGTCGGTGTTCACCACCGTCTCCCCTTTCATCAGGGCTCACTACGACCAGCCCGTCGCCCTCTGGCCGTCGGCCGCGGACGAGCTACGCACGCTCGCTGGGCTCATGGTCCTGCTCGTGTCCGACTGGGAAGCGGACTGGGACCCCATGATCGTGGCCTCGGACGCCTCCGAGTGGGGCTACGGACTTTGCAGCCGCTGGGTTGGGGCCGGCGAAGCTGCGGCAGTGGGTCGTGTTCGTGAGCGCGATCGCTACCTCGACCCTGACCACGTCGCCGCTCGGGCCGCCGCTCTTGGAGAGGCCCAGTCGGCGACCTCTATACCCGCCGAGCCTTCGGACCTGTGGGATGCCTGCGGGACGAGCGGCCTGATGGCCGACCCCACATTCGCGGAGGTGCCCTCGCCTATGCTGGAGAGCACGTCCTGGAGGACCATCGGCGGCTGGCCTTTCTCGGGTGAGGAGGACATCTTAGTGCTGGAGGCTAGGGCGCTGCTCCGCGGGCTCGAGCGCGTGACCCGCACACGTTTTGGCCGCAACATTCGCCAGGTTCTTTTTGCCGACAACCTCGGCCTGGTGCTCTCAGTGGGCAGGTGGAGGTGTCGGAACTTCAAGGTTCTCGTCATCCTGAGGAGGATGGCAGCGTGGTGTCTCAGCCGCAACGTTCGTCTCTCGGTGCGGTGGGTGCCGTCGGAAAAGAATCCTGCTGATGCCCCGTCCCGTCTCTTTCAGCCCAAGTCTCATTTTCTGTCGAAGGAGGTTGATGGAAAAGACCACCCCGATCCGATAGGGCACGCCCCCCATGACGGTTTTCCGCCTGTTGCTGCGAGCCCCTCTCGGGTGGAGCCCTGTGCTGGCGACGAGCCTCAGAAGGGTTCGGAAGCGGATGAGACGTCCTCTCCCGCTGGCTCTCGCCTCGGTCCTTCTTCCGTAGCCGTTTTGGCTCAACCCGACTTACATGATTCTCCCAAAAGCGACTGCAGCCGAGCGCACCCGCACTCTGGTTTCCTCTCAGCCTCGCAGCGATGTCGCACTGGCGAATCCTGTGAGGAAGCGTCGGCTCCCGTCGACGGATGTCGCATCCGTCTCACGGCCGCGCACTTCCCGTGCACCGTGGGCAAGCAACGAGGCGGGGGCCCAGGCGCTAAAGACGGCGGCGGGCCTGTGGGAGATCTCGGACGACGAGGTCGTGCAGCTGCTGTCGGAGCTGCGGCGCCGCCATCAGCGTGGACTGGACACGGAGGCTCCTTCGAGCTCGGAGAGCGAGCCCGACGTCGAGCCAAGGCCAGGTGCGACCGCTCGTACTCGTACGCCTCCGCCGCGGGCCAAGAAGGCCCTCGAGACCCTCCTGTCGGCCAGGACGCTGCCCGACTTTGCCCACCTCACAGCGGGGGAACACGCCGCCGTGAGGCCGAGAACGGAGGCCCAGCACGCCCAAGAGGTGGCTGCGTTCAGGACGTTTGCGAACGCCGAAAGGCTGACCGACATCCCGATCACGGACCTGGACGACCTGCTGGTGAGTTACATGGACCAGCAGATCCGTCAAGGCGTCTCGGCTGCTCGCGGGATGAAGCTGATCGCTGGCGTGGTTCACGGCCAGCCGAGAGTGGGCAAGAACGGACCCCACACCTTGTCACGCAGCTGGAGGGCGCTCAAGGGCTGGCAGAACCTCTGCCCGTCCACATCTCGCTTGCCCGAGGCGTGGCCCATCTGGTGTGCCATCGTGAACGGGCTGGTGCTGCTGGGCCGCTTCGACATGGCGCTGTTCATTTGCCTGATGTGGAGCACCTACGCCAGGCCCATCCAGCTGATGGCCCTGAAGCCCGAATACCTGTACCCGCCTTCGCGGGTGTCGACCTTCTGGACGGTCCAGCTCAACCCCGAGCCCGAGGGGGTCCCGTCCAATGCGAAGGAGTTCGACGTGACTATCGAGCTCGACCACGCCTGGTGGTCCCGCCTCTCTCCGATGCTCACGACGCTGAAAAGTTTGCCTGCGGGCCGTCGAGTGCGGTCGTTCACCTACCCGAAGCTGGCGGCGACAGTGGCGAGAGTCGCCAAGGACCTCGGCTTCGACCTGGTAGTGTACCAGGCTCGGCACAGCGGCGCCAGCGCAGACATGGCGTCCCGCAGGCGTACCCTGGCCGAGGTCAAGAAGAGGGGCGGCTTGAAAGCCGATCGGTCGGTGGTGAGGTACGAGAAGGGAGCTCGCTTGGCCAGCACTTGGGCTCGCCACCCGGCCTGGCGCCAGAGCCACGCCGAGCAGTGCGAGGAAAGATTCGTGGAGATCTTGCTGCACGGCCTCACGGTGCCCAGGCCCGCTTCCATTTCCCGTTAGAGGAACGTCGTCTCTTCGTGTTGATGGTCGGCGACGCTTTCCTGCAGCCGCACCATGTCACGCGGCAGGGTTTCTTGACCAGAAGCCTGGCCGAGCGGGATCTGACGCTTGGTTCCTTGCTCGCGCTGCGCCGAGATTTTCAGGAGTCGCGCATTGCTGCCTTGTTTGTCTCAATAACCGATTCGGACACGATGATGCGAGCTCGTTCGTTGATCACCCTTGCTGTGAAGTTGGGGCTCCCAGTTATGATTGTGTGCCGTGCCAAGCTAAGTTTAGACGTCGACCGAGCGTTTAGCGAATTTGAGGGTGTTCTCTGTCAGGTTTCGCACATGTGCAGATATGGAGGTCGCGGCAGATTCCCGACTGTCTCGTACATTTTCAATATACAGTCTGCCGACTGTTCTCGCCTTGGCCTGGCGTGCCCTGGCAAGCGTTCCCGCGACAGCCACCAGCCCCACCTTTTCGCTTCGCCCCGCCCACCAGATCCCAAAGAGGTTCCAGAGAGCCCTGGCGTTCACGCTGCTGGCTGTCCCTCGTGCTCTGTATCTATCAGTGTGAGAACAGAACCTGTTTTGGGTTTTCTGATTTGGGATGATGTGTGAAGTTTAACTGCGGAGTTCGAACTCCGCTCTGTCTTCCCATCTCGGATCCGAGTCGCTTAGACCAGCGAGTGCAGTAGAGAGAAGTAATCACCGCTAAAAAATATGCATGTAAGTCATGGGGGTGCGTGCACATTAATGGCTTAGCGGATTTTGGGATGTCGGTCTCATCACCTCAGCGTGTCACTCAGTAGTCGTCTGGGCTCCCCTCCCGCCCAACCCCTTTGAGGAGCAGTATAAGCCTGGATGATGTGTGAAGTTTAACTGCGGAGTTCGAACTCCGCTCTGTCTTCCCATCTCGGATCCGAGTCGCTTAGACCAGCGAGTGCAGTAGAGAGAAGTAATCACCGTTAAAAAATATGCATGTAAGTCACTGCATTGCTATCGCATTGCACTGCCTAGCAATCGCGTTGCTTTGCCATGGCATCGCCTTGCAATCGCATTGCAAACACATTGCACTGGTTTTCATAACGCAACATGCCTATGCATTGCCTTGAAGTGTGTTGCATTGTGTTGCATTGTGTTGCTTTGTCTTGAGTTGTGGTGCGTTGCTTTGCAGTAATATGCGTTGCGTTACATGGTGTTTCATTGCGTTGCATTGCGCTGCATTGTGTTGCATGTCAGTGCTTTGCGTTGCTTAACGTTGCGTTGCGTTGCTTAGCGTCGCCTGGCATTGCGTTGCAGTGTGCTGCGTTGGTTTGCATTGCGCTGTATTGCGCTGCATTGCGCTGCATTGCTTTGCATTGCGTTGGATTGGTTTGCATTGCATTGCATTCGCATTGCATTCGCATTGCTTTGCAGTGCGTTGCATTACGTAGTATTGCTTGGAAGCTTGCTGCATTTATTTGCATTGCGTTGCATTGATGTGCGTCAGTTTGCATTGCCCAGCGTTCATGTGCATTTTGTCGCAATGCCTTGCAGTACGTTGCATTGTTTATTCATTGCTTCGCATTGCAATCGCATTGCGTTGCTTTGCATTCCTTTGCTTTGTTTTGCATTATCGGTAAGGGCCTCGCCCCCTGCCGCCGGCCCCCTCTCTCGGAGAATGGGCTATGGAAAAGCGAAGTCATGAGGCTTTGGTTTCGCCGTGAAGCAGTGTCGGTACCTGTTTGTTTTCGACCCTGACCCCGACGATCTGCGTGAGGGGTGCCAGCGAATTTCAGAAATGTGGCGAATCCCCTATGTTTTTGGACCCTGACCCCGCCGATGTGCGTGAGGGGTGCCACCGTATTTCAGAAATGTGGCAAATCCCTTGTGT